TTGAGCCCAGGAGTTGGAGGTTGCTGTGAGCGTGATGCCATGGCACTCTACCCAGGGGGATAGCTTGAGGCTCCGTCTCAAAAAAAAAAGTTGAGAAATTTCATACAGATGTTTCATGAGACGCATTTCGGATTTGTAGGTCAGCTCTTCACCCAAGACCCTAGTACTTGTGCAACAAATTCAGCTGCTTGCCCTGGAGCCTCTTTGGGAGGACTGGAATTCGAGCCAGGACTTCAAGGGTTAATAAGCAGAAGTCACATCGGCGGTTCGAAACTCCTCCTCCCGCGGTGAGGTGAAGACGTTTGAAAATCACCCCACTCCAAACTCCTCCCCTCCCGGGAAACCTCGCCTAGATATGCTGCTGAGAATGACTCGGGTGCACGTGCAGCCGCAGGAAGCCTGAGTTCCCAGCTTAGACACCGCGGGCCAGTGAAACAGATCGGGACGTTGCGAGCAGAGGCTGCGGGAATGGGGCTCGGTGGCTGGAGGCTGCGCTGGATCGTCGCCCTGCTCCTCGTCGCGGCGGGGACTGCGGGTAGGGTTTGCTCCAGGCGTTGCTGTTTGCCCTTTGGGGATTCTTATTGTGGGGCGAGGGGAGAGGAAAAATTAATCACTCCATCCCTGGGAGACTAGTAGGAACATGGCAGGAAGGAGGTCCTTTCCAGACGGCTAGAGGGGGCGTGAGGGTTGGAAGGAGTCTGGCCGCCTCAGAGGACAAGCGGCGCGGCTCTTCCTCCCAAGTCTCCGAAGGATGAGGACCTCCTTAGTCTTCCTCAGAGGTGAGGGACCTCCGTTCCTAAAAGGAGGGACATCCCCAACTCAGTCAGTTATTCTAGAGGCAAGGGTGAGTCGAGGCCCGGTTTCCCAGCTTGGAGTGGGGGTCCACACAGATGAGGTAACCGCGGCGGCCAGATCAGCTTGGCGCACCTCGGGGGTCGCTGCCACCTCCTTCAGCCCAGTGCTGCTTCTCGGGTATCTCTGCAGCGTCAAAACCCTGACCTCCTCCTTCTGCCCCGCCTCCGCCCTCTGGGCCTGCCCCCCCAGCTTCCATTGGGCGCCATCCGAACAGGCGAGCCTCGAGCCACTCCCCTCGTCCAATGGCAGGCATCCGAGGCGGAGGTGCGAGCGGTGAAGGGCCGGGCTTGCGCGGAAGTCGTGGCCCACAGCGGGTCTGGGCTGGGCGGCTGCTGGGGAGGTCGGGAGTCTTGTCAAGTCACAGTTTCTTGTCACAAAGGCAGCGATACTTCTCGCCCCTGTGTCAGCGAGCGTAGACTCGGGTCCCCTATGTCAGGGCCCCGGTTTCCTCTGCAGTCTGTGGACGGACCTTGGTCCTTGCCTGCTTCTGGGGGGCCAGCCTCCCGGGTCAAGTTCGCAGACGGGTTCTCCCGAGGCTAAAACGTGGCTTTAGCATCTCTCCTGCCCCTCCTGGGCCCAGACCTTCAGCCAGGGTAGGCTGGGGGCAGAGGCAGCGAACCCGACACGGGCCAAGGTGGCATTTGTTCTGAGGTTCTAAACGGGTTCGCTTGAGCTGCTAACGTGGCAATTTTTCGTTTGGGGGAGGTGGGATCGGATTTAGATTTCTACAAGAGAATAATTGGTGCATGATCCTGAGTTACTGCTTAAAAAAAAAAAATTAGCTGTGGCGAAGCAGTGAGCCCCGTCTTGGACAATAGCTAAAAGGCCCCGTTCCTCCTTAGAACCACTCAACCTGTGAAAGGATTGGGGTTGTAGGAAGCTTTTTTTAAAATTGGAAAGTGATTCGTTTTGAGCAGAGAGAGCTTTGAACTCTCTTGTAATCTGTAACACACCAGTTTCCTCTGCAAGAGAGGATGCAGAGAAATAGGTTTGTTATTGCCATAATTCAGCCACCCACTATAAAGCCAAGGGGATGTCGCTTGGTCAAGGGGCACTAGATTAACTTGTATTTCACTCAAGGGGCACTAGATTAACTTGTATTTCACTCACTGGTCAACTCCTTACCTAAGAGAAGGTGTTGCAAGTGTTGAGTAAGACCCTGTTAGAGTAGTTTCTTCTCATTGAATGACTGACAATATGATGTTTCTTCTGTTCTCAAGGAGAGAGGACCTCTGATGTCCCCAGACTTCTGAGAGCTCCTTAATGTGTGTTTATAGCAGCCCTAGCAGTTCTGGTTTCAAGAAATTTCCCCAGGAAGAATTTCTGGTCTGTTTCCTCTAGATAAAGAAGTACTAATTGAAATCTAAACTGCATACCCTCACCACCTAGCCAGTTAAAAATCAATAAACAGTGGTAGGTGGAGTGTCAAATGTGTCAAGGGCTCACCCACACTTAAAAAAGGAAGATAGGTGGCTCGGCGCCTATAGCTCAACCGGCTAAGGCGCCAGCCACGTACACCTAAGGTGGCGGGTTCGAATCCCCAGCCCGGACCCGCCAAACAACAATGACGGCTGCAACCAAAAAATGGCCGGGCGTTGTGGCGGGCGCCTGTGGTCCCAGCTACTTGGGAGGCGGAGGCAGGAGACTCGCTTGAGCCCAGGAGTTGGAGGTTGCTGTGAGCTGTAATGCCACGGCACTCTACCCAGGGGGACAGCTTGAGGCTCTGTCTCAAAAAAAACAAAAAAAAGGAAGATAGGGCAGTGTCCTTAGCTCAGTGGGTAGGGTGCTGGCCACATACACTGAGGCTGGCAGGTTCCAACCTGGCTCAGGGCAGCTAAACAGCAATAACAACAACAACAAAAAATAGACAGGTGTTGTGGCAGGTTCCTATAGTCCCAGCTACCTGGAAGGCTGAGGCAAGAGAATCATTTAAGCCCAAGTGTTTGAGATTGCTGTGAGCTGTGATGCCATCGCAGGCTACTGAGGGTGACATAGTGACATAGTGAAACTCTTTCAAAAAAAAAAAAAAAAAAGAAGAAGAAGATAAAAAGAAAAGAAAAAGTGGAGCAATTGGATTGAGAATTGTGTCTGCTTTTGCTACAAGTCACAGGGAATTCTTTTTTCATTACCTGACATACCTTTCTTCTAAGAGAAAAAATATAATAAGAACTTCATTGAGAATGAAAACCTGTAATATTATGTTCCTCATTTCTGCTTTTCTCTGGAGTTCCTCCACATAAAATCCAATTCTAGGTGCTTTCTCCTTGCTCTGAGAGGGGCCTTTTGAAAGTCTCCTTTGCTGGCTCGGCGCCTATGGCTCAAGTGGCTAAGGCACCAGCCACATACACCTAAGGTCCCGCCAAACAACAATGATGGCTGCAACCAAAAAAAGTAGCCAGGCATTGTGGCCGGTGCCTGTGGTCCCAGCTACTTGGGAGGCAGAGGCAGGAGACTGACTTGAGCCCAGGAGTTGGAGGTTGCTGTGAGCTGTGATGTCACAGCACTCTACCCAGGATGACAGGTTGAGGCTCTTTCTAAAAAAGAAAAGAAAAGTCTCCTTTGCATTCCAGGTAAAGTACATTAATAGTATCTACACTCTGCCCTGCTGTGGAGCAAATGAGCTTTTGTTGCTAAGAGACTGCGGATGTTTTAATAACTAACCAGGAGCAAGAGTTGGCTGCCCCTCCCAAAGAAGCAGCAAAAACCTACCACTGAGATCACCCTGGGGAAAATACACACCCAGTTTGGGAAGGAGCAGTCAATTGCTTTCTCATTCTTTTTATCTGAGTCTATTTCCTCCAGCCAGGGATTTTTTTTTTTTAATATATGTATAAGGAAATGATTCTAGCTACAATTTCAATTTCCTTGTGTAGCAACACTAGTATGGTAAGAAAACATTGAAAGCATTTACCACCTCATTTGTGTGTTGGGGAAAAAAGCAGAAATGAGTATTCTCCTTTTCTGTTTCAATAACCTTGTTCCTGACTTGTCACTTATGACAGGAGAGATCAGAAGGTTGAGAGTTTATGGTGTGGTTTTTTTTTTTTTTTGAGAGGGCAGTGCCTATATCATTTCAGGCAACCATAGTACAGAGGTATCTGAGGATTGGTGCTCTGATTTGCTTTTGCTGAAATTCAAATGATCTAATGTGAAAAAACCCCAAACCTTATTTGAAAGAACTAGAAAGATGTCTGGTTTCTTTTGGCTGTGGTGTTTGAGGGAGAACTAGTTCTATCCCCTGCTCAGGCTGTTCTGTGGGGACACACCTCAGTGTGTGCTGCTATCATTTGTCACTCTTTGTCTCCTCACTTGCTGGGCTGTGAGGGCTTAGTTTGAAGGCTGTTGCCTGGCTGTGTGCTTGTAGCAGTAAAATCTATCTATCTATTTATTTATTTATTCATTTTTGAGACAGAGTCTCTGTCACCCTGGGTAGTGCTGTGGCATCACCATAGCTCTCAGCAACCTGAAATTCCTGGGCTCAAGTGATCCTTAGCTAGGCGTTGTGGGTGCCTGTAGTCCCAGCTACTCGGGAGGCTGAGGCAAGAGAATCGCCTGGGCGGAACCTGTTCCTCAAAGGAGTAGGGTGCCAGCCATATATACTGGAGGTAACAGGTTCAAACCTGGCCCTGGCCAAAAACTGCAAAAAAAAAAGAGAGAGAATCGCCTAAGCCCAGGAGTTGGAGGTTGCTGTGAGCTGTGACGCAAAGGCACTCTACTGAGGGCGATAAAATAAGACTGTCTCTAAAAA